GTCCGTACTGCTTACCCCTGAGGGAGACCCGGATGCACTTGACATCCCGACTCCGCGCTCTTACGCGGAGGCGATAGAGGGTCCCTACTCCTCTCAGTGGCAGGCAGCTATGGACGCAGAGATGGCTTCCTGGAAGTCCACAGGCACCTACGTTGACGAGGTTCCCCCGCCTGGGGCGAACATCGTCAGTGGCATGTGGATTTTCAGGGTGAAGCGACCGCCGGGTTCTCCGCCTGTCTTCAAGGCGCGTTACGTGGCTCGTGGCTTCAGTCAGCGGCAGGGAGTTGACTACTTTCAGACTTTCTCTCCCACCCCGAAGATGACCACTCTTCGGGTACTGCTGCACATAGCTGCTCACCGCGACTACGAGCTGCACTCTCTTGACTTCAGCACTGCTTTCTTGCAGGGCAGCCTGCACGAGGAGATCTGGCTGCGTCGCCCACCTGGCTTCACTGGGTCTTTTCCTCCTGGCACCCAGTGGAGCCTCCGGCGGCCAGTCTACGGTCTCCGCCAGGCACCGCGTGAGTGGCACGACACACTGAGGACTACACTTGCGGCTCTTGGGTTTGCTCCCTCTACTGCCGACCCGTCGCTGTTTCTGCGCACCGACACTTCTTTGCAGCCGTTCTACATCCTCGTGTACGTCGACGACTTGGTCTTTGCCACAGCTGACACTGCTGGACTCGCCCACGTGAAGTCCGAGCTGCAGAAGAGACACACGTGCACAGACCTGGGTGAACTGCGCAGCTACCTTGGCTTGCAGATCACCCGGGACAGAGCACGCCGCACCATTACCCTGACTCAGTCACACATGGTGCAGCAGGTCCTTCAGCGCTTCGGCTTCACGTACTCCTCGCCTCAGGCCACTCCTCTGCCTACTCGCCACTCGCTCTCAGCTCTGCCTTCGGATGAGTCCGTAGAGTCGAGTGGCCCGTACCCAGAGCTTGTTGGCTGCCTCATGTACCTGATGACCTGCACACGACCTGACCTTGCATACTCTCTTAGCATTCTTGCACGCTATGTTGCTCCTGGGAGACACAGACCGGAGCACATGGCTGCAGCGAAGAGGGTGTTGCGCTACTTGTGCAGTACATCGGGCATGGGGCTTGTGCTTGGAGGGCAGAGTCCAGTGGTCCTCACTGGACACGCAGACGCTTCTTGGGCTGACGACCAGGCTACGCAGCGGTCGTCACAGGGTTACACCTTCAGCCTTGGTTCCGGCTCTGTTTCGTGGCGGGCTACTCGCTCGTCTTCTGTTCTCAGCTCCAGTTGCGAGGCTGAGATCTACGCTGGGGCCATGGCTGCACAGGAGCTTCGCTGGCTCACCTACCTGCTGACTGACCTCGGAGAGCCGCCTCGTTCTCCTCCAGTGCTCTACGTAGACAACAAGGCTATGCTGGCCTTGTGTCGAGAGCAGAGACTGGAGCACAGAACGAAGCACATTGCTCTTCGCTACTTCCTTGCTCGTGAGCTACAGCAACGCGGTCAGCTGCGACTTGCGTACGTGGCCTCTGAGGCCAACACTGCTGATATCTTCACCAAGGCACTTGCGCCTTGTGATCATCAGCGCTTCTGTACTCAGCTGGGTCTTGTGCCTACCTTGCCTCACTTGCTCACCTCTTGACCTTGTTTGTACTGTTGCATATATATATACTCCTGCTCTTGCTTGTTTAGCCTTATATATATGTGTAATCCTGCATGTGAACTGGCCTTGTGGCCTTGAACTTGTGCTCGGAATGTGTGGTGACTTTGTGATCCACCCTGAGCTTGCTTTGCTTTGCTTGACTGGTCTTGTGACCCCTTGTTCTCCCCCACTTTGCCTATGGGGGTGTGTCAGAGTTATTTGACATAGCTACTGTAGGCTATAGTGGGGTAGCACATATGGGGTACAGTTTCCTAGGGTTTGCCTTTTGTACCCAACTTTCACTTAGTCATTTCATTCCTGTTTTTCTTGATTCACAATAGCAGCCGTGCAGCAGCAGCAGCAGTAGCATAGGCAGTAGCAGTAGTGCAGCCACAATAGTACAGGTGGCAGTTGGGCAGCAGTGCAGGTGCGCGGGCGGCAGGGCAGGTGGCACGGGCCTGGTGCGGGCTGTACTGACAAGCATGTGCTGACTAGACACGCTTTTCTGTGAAATGAGAGTGGGAACCTGAAATTGTACTTCGTTTCCCTGCTAAGATGACATTTATTTTCGTGATTCGACAGGTTTTCATATAAAAAATCAACATGCGCTTATAATAAAGCATGATTTTTTCGGGGGTGCCCTTATAATCGAGGACCGGATATAAGCGCCATGCCTTTTATAAGCACCCGACGCTTATCCGAGTCCTGCGCTTATATCCGGGGGCTGACGGTATAAGTGGTGTTGGCCTCTAAGGCCACTGGTACCACACGTAATATTAGTGAGTAAAATAAACCCTAAACATATCCACTCTACAAACCATGATAGCAACATTATGCTTTATAAAGATGCTCACATTTTCCACAGCAAGACGATAGGCATCACCTTGCCTATAATCCCTACCTTTTGCAGGACTAATGGGCTATAGAAGTGTTCGCCTCGTGGCAGTTAGCGTGGTAGTATTTGGTAGTTTTCGCATTTGCTACAACGGTAAACAACGAATTTGAAGAAGATGAAGAAGAAGAAGAAGAAGAAGAAGAAGAAGAAGAAGAAGAAGAAGAAGAAGAAGAAGAAGAAGAAGAAGAAGAAGAAGAAGAAGAAGAAGAAGAAGAAGAAGAAGAAGAAGAAGAAGAAGAAGAAGAAGAAGAAGAAGAAGAAGAAGAAGAAGAAGAAGAAGAAGAAGAAGAAGAAGAAGAAGAAGAAGAAGAAGAAGAAGAAGAAGAAGAAGAAGAAGAAGAAGAAGAAGAAGAAGAAGAAGAAGAAGAAGAAGAAGAAGAAGAAGAAGAGGAAGAAGAGGAAGAACAAGAGGAAGAGGAAGAAGAGGAAGAAGAGGAAGAGGAAGAAGAAGAAGAGGAAGAAGAAGAAGAACAACAACAAGAACACCTCCACGCACACACACACACACACATACAAACACATAAACAAACACACACACACACACACATACACACACACACATACACATACACACACACATAAATACACATACACACATACACATACACACACATGCATACACACACACACACATACACACACACCCACATACACACCCGCACACACGCACGCACCCACACACCCACCCACCCATACACACCCGCGCACACCCGCGCACACCCGCACACCCGCACACGCATGCACACAGACACACGCACAAACACACACACAAACACACACACCCACACAAGGGCATAACATGAGAAAGAGGTCAATAGAAGACATGATAACAAAAAACCAGCACTTGAAATCCAAATAAATGAAAAGCAAAACGATGATTTGTATCTCCAAATTATCCAATTCCGAGCCACTTACTGTGCCAGTGCGCCTGTAACCCCCCAGGGCAGCGAGCCTATAACCCCTTCCTTTATGATCACTTGGGCATCCCGAGTGCATGTCTTCCAACGTCCCCCCTGACACGAATGCCATAGGACGCGAGACAACAGAACCGTCAGCATGTGCACACATGTGGATGCAAATCCGATACCTTCGCTTTGATACCATTTCAGAATTCCAATCGCTATCCTATTTGGATAAAAGGGCTTGTTAAGTAGCATGTTAGTTAGGCATGGGCATTGACCCGACCCGACCCGACCCGACCCATTCGGGGCTACCTGAGGGTGTAGTCGGGTCGGGTCGAATATATCCGACCTTGGGTATTAGGGGTCAGATTGTGTACCCGACCCGCCCATTAACGCTCGCGTATTTAGAACCCGAGGTCGGGTCGGGTATACCCGTTAACGAATTTAATCCGTATTTTTGAATTTGGTTCTCCTAACCTGTTTTGGCATTACATTTGTCAACTGGTCATTGTTTTGTTAGTTAATGGCATTGTGACGGGTTTCTTTTCAAACCAGTCCTCGCGCACAAATACACCATTACAACGTGCATTTTAAGAGATGCATGGTCCTACCGCAGTCACATACCTTCATTGTATAACATGATGATTATTATGTAGGGTTCATGCACCTTCTAAGTAGTGCAATAGATTCACTACAACAACACGCCCGCAGTCACAACAACCACGTGACAACGGTCGCAACCAGCCACAAGTAAAAACCCATCACCCTCACCCTCATAACAAAGCTCCTCGAGCATACAAGTGGCCCCTGCAACATTGAGGCTCCTGCCGATAGTGTTCTGCGCCATCCATAACTTGATTGCCATGACGGCGCGAACACGGCCAGCGGTAAAGCGGTGGCGCTGCCATGTGATAACGTTCCTCCCCTGACTAAAGGTTCGCTCGCTAGCAGCAGAAGTGGCGGGCACAGCCAAATAGTGTCGAGCCATCTCCCACAAAGCCTCGAAATCCTCCTTCGCCTGCCAGAAAGCCAACGGGCAACCACCTCTCTGCCTGGGCTCAGTTAAATACCGGTCCACCTCATCTTGTGTCCTCCCCACCCCCCCCTGCAGCTGCCTCCAGAGCATCCATCTCGTCAAAGTTGGAGTGCTCAAAGCCCCTTCCCCCACCTCCACCAGCACCCATCGTGCCCAAGGTCCCACCAGTAACGCCGCTGGGCCCAGTGCCCCCCCCCCCCCAACTCGCTCGTGACCTCTCCACCCTGCCGGCAGCTGATCACTCGCGCCTGGTACTCGGCCAAACGCACACGCACCGGCCGTATCACCGACCCCTCATCTACATCCTGCACCCTCCTAGCACACCCCCCCCAACTCCGTGACGTGCGCAACTTTGCACGCCTCCCACTTCGGCAGCTTGAAGAAGACGGTCTTGTAGCGGGGGTCCAGGAAGGTGGCAATCACCAACTCTTCCTTCTCCCTGTACTTGTACTTCTTCAGCTTGGCTAGGGCTGCAGAGACGAGGGCCTGTCGGAGGGGAGTGACGCCGTCCTTACGATAGGAAATCTCCAGCTTGTCTAGCAGCTAGTTGTACAACGGCACGACCGAAGCAGCCGCGGGGTACAAGGAACCCTCGGCTGCCTTCGTGATGGAGTCGAACGGCTCAAGGAACTCCTTGAGCTCGACGAGAGCGTCCCAGTGCACGTCGATTACCCGAAGGCCATCCAGCTGTTCGCGTAGCTGGCGGGGGGGTGGGGAGAGGGGGGGGTTGGTGGATGGAAGAAGAGTACAGTAGGGGATGAATGTTTTAGGGTCATTCTAAACAATCACAATACAATAAATTATCCAAGGTTCCAGCCCCCGAGCAGAACCCTTCACTACAGTCACAACACACACACCACCGAACCAGCCCCCTACCATGCCCTTCACTACAGTCACAACACGCCAGCCACCAAACCAGCCCCCTAACAGAACCCTTCACTACAGTCACAACACACCAACCACCAAACCAGCCCCCTACCATGCCCTTCACTAGAGTCACAACACGCCAGCCACCAAACCAGCCCCTAACAGAACCCTTCAGTACAGTCACAACACACCACCCCCCAAACCAGCCCCCCACCATGTCGTTCACTACAGTCAAAACATGCTGACCACCAAACCAGTCCCGTTACAGAACCTTTACTACAGTCACAACACACCAACCACCAAACCAGCCCATCACTACAGTCACTCCACAACCACCACCACCAATAGTCACGTCCGTCCTCATGAGGAACAGGGCCAGAGCCTGCTGCAGCTCCAACACGCGGACAATCATGTCGTACGTGGACCCCCACCGCGTCGGCGAGTCGCCAATCAAATGAAGCACGCGTGCATCATCACGACAGCGCAACAAGATGCGCTGCTGCCGGGCAAAGTGCTCCGAGCGCTGAACCGACCACCCGACGAACGAACACACCGCGCGCAGACGCTTCAACGCCTCTGACACATTATCTACCTTCAATGCAGCCTGCACTGCAATGTTCATGACATGTGCGATGGAGCTATGCAAGCATGGCACACACTCATAGGGGAGAGGAGGTTGAAATAAACATGGTTGTAGGCGAAGGGTGGCCCATGGTACGGCGGCAATGCAGGGACAAATCAGAACCATCAGTGTTACACGTCGTTTCACGTACCGTACGTGCCGATCTCCGTCGAACAGCGGAGACGCCATCCTCGACTCAGCGCCCTCTGCTGGGTTCCCTGCAAGCATGCGCATGGCCTTGTTGTTGTTCTCTGCATTATCCGTCGTGACAGCGAACAGCATCTCGGTCAGTCCCCACTCCGCCAGAATGCCCTCAAGGGTCTTTGCTATCGGCGACGCGGTGTGCGAGCCCTCCCACTGCAGAAAAATCCAGGATGTGCTGCCGTAGCAAGAAGTCACTGTGCACTGTGACGACCATAAAACAAGGGGGTTCTCACTGGTCTAGATGTTTGTACTCAGCGACAGCCACCCAGCGAGACCATCACCAATCAGCTCCTGCTTCAACTCTGCCCTGGCGGCATCTGCGTATGCCTGCATGTCCCATGCCAATTGATAACGCGTCCCTAGCAACCCCTCGGCCCCGGGGTTCAGCAGTTTGACGAATCGACGGAACTATTGTGGGATGGAATGGACAATGAGCACAACGCACCCTGAACAATGAATGACATGTATAACAAGGATGGGAATTGAGTAAAGAGCAAGTTATATCACGAGGAATGGATACGCCACATGCTTGTACTGACAATGATTCGCACAATGCGATAATGGAGCCGAACAAGGACTCACCGATGGCCGATCGATAGGGCGGAATGGCAGGTCGGCGTCGGCGAACAACTCGACGAGGGCGGAGCGCAGCTCCTGCTCCTGCACCCTGGGGGTGATGTACGCGGACATGCTGGCTGCACGACTCCCACCACTCGTGCCCCCCCCCACCCCTTCCGCAGTTCCACCCGTAGCCGTGGCTGGGATGTTCGGCCAGCTTGCCGCGTGTTCCCATGCTACATCCCCATCTGGCACGACAGGGCCCTTCCCATCCATCCCATAACCCCCAAGAGGGAACTGCAGACCCGTTGGCTTCGCCGGATCCAAGAGCCGACGAACCCAAACCTGCACGTTAGGGTACACCTGGTCCGCGGCAAATTAACCGCCGGTATCTTAACCACGTTTGTCGGCATGCTGGGCGTTTTCCGTTGGGTGGCCAGAAATCACTGTTCACACTTGACCGAACCAAGCTGGGGAATTGCTGAACCTTTTTTCGATGTTTCAGTTGGTGCCGTGCGTGGGGCAAGCAACTTTTTCATCTGACTATTCACGAGAGAATCGCCACTGTCGATGCTTTTGCTTTTCTGATACTCCAACATTCTAGATGGCCAAAAGGTCCACAGTGTTCCTTTTGAGGGGTAATGTCAAAACTTTCCATGCTGTTCATATATTTGGGGGTGAAAATAGTGACCCAAATTTTGCACCTTTATCTTCACCACGCCCAGATAATCCAAACCCTGCTACCCATTTTGGCGTGGTTAAAATACCGCGGACTAGGTGTAACGTTTGCGCTTCACGTGCCTCCACCCTGCGCTGGTGTTACCCGACCCCCAAGAAAGCAAGTCCCCACATTTACGACACGCACGACAATCATCTACCATGTCGCAAAACATTCCCACTAGTAACCCCGAGTAGGATTTTCCAGCCAAGTTCTCGACAAGAGGATCTGTCGGCGTCTCCTCCCTCGCACGCTTCGTCCTACACCGCCTGCCCCCTGACGTCCCTCCGCCACGACTCGTGCCACCAGCTCGCAACGGCGTCCCCACACCCCCATCGTTGTGCTGTGTGTCAGCATGTGAGGGCCCTGCCTCTACTGGGGCTGCCCCCTTCGCTCTCCCATCTCCACCCTCTTGTGCAACTCTACCAATCCGCTGGCGCGCCTCTCACCATGAAGAGCAGCTGATCCTTTGTATGAACAACCCTGCCCCCGGCAAGCACGCCCCCCTCCCCGACCTCGTCCCTATGCACTCCTTCTTCCGCGTCCTACAATGTTTTCCCCGGCCCCCTCCTCCTCCTCCTCCTCCTCCTCCTCCTCCTCCTCCTCCTCCTCCTCCTCCTCCTCCTCCTCCTCCTCCTCCACCACCTCCACCTCATTCTCGCCAGCCGAGACACCCGCTGAATCTGCCGCTGCCGCTGCCTCCTCCTCTGCTGTAGGCACGCACGCACCATCTACGTCATTTTCAGCAGGCGCTTGCCCCGCAACCCATGGTTGAAGGGGAATCGTTACCCACCCAGAGTCGTTCCCCTCAATGTCTGCCGCAGCATCCGCCCCTCCTGACACGACAGCCGCCTGAGTAGCACTGTCGAGCATGATGCTTGTTCAAGCTGCAGGTGTGGGTATATGGTGCGTGTTGGCGCGTGCTGGATCTTGGAGGCTGGAGCACGGGTGTCGCACTGTGCGCTTTTAGTAGCGCTCCCCTGCGTGCACTGGAGCTAGATGGCGTGGGACTGTGCATTCAACGCTGCCACATTTGCCACACGAAGAGCATGCATTGGAAGAGATTCCACGGATTAATGACGCCAGGCGAGTGGTCAGATCGGCCCTGCGAATTTTGCCAGGGGGTGACGTGTCTTTGGGAAGGTTCTTAGCTCTGGATAGAAGCTTCTCTAGAACTACTATAGTAGGAGCCTTAGTTTCATACAATCGGCCTTGTGTGTTCCTCTCAATCGCCTTGTGTGGTGTGCGCTAATGCGCGCGCGAAGTCGCGGGATGGAGTGGGGTGGCGGTAGTGGCGGGCGTGATGGCGAGCTCCCCTGAATTGAACAAGTAAGGGCTAAAACTACTCTAAACGTATTTCCTGGCGGACTAGGCGCTACGGTTAACTTATCACATGGAAGCGTGGATCTTTGTATTGTAATGTTAAGTTGTTGATGCGGTGAGAGAGTGAATCTAGAGTCTAGTACCTAACTAATGATGTAATCTAGTAGTAGTGTTGCTGCAGGCTAAGGGACGTCAAGGAGGCTGGCGACGAGTAGGTTGAATAGCGAGGGTGTTGTGCGATGTGAAGAGCCACGAGTGGGCCTGTGTTTCCAAGTTTGAAAGCCCCAAACTTCGACGACCTCCCCCAAAACGTAACCCTAACTTAACCTGATCGCTTCGGGTAAGAATGTACCCAACACGAAAACGAGTTCATGACCCGAACTCGGGTCGGGTTTACTCGACCCGACGGGTAGCACATACCCGATATTGTACACCCGGGTCGGGTCCCGGTTAACAAAATACCCGAGCGGGTATACACTACTCGACCCGCGAGCACTAGTCAAGACGAATATATGGACCCGACCCGACTAAAAAGTCGGGTCGGGTGGGTAACCCGACCCGTACGGGTAAAATGCCCATGCTTAATATTAGTGCGCCCATAACCCCCCAAGGCAACGAGCCTGTAACCCTTCCTTATGATCAATCGAGCATCTCGAGTGCAGAACTTCAGACATCTCTCCTCACAAGGATGTCGTATGACACCACACAACGACACCACCAGCATGTGCGCACATGAGGGCTCGAATCCGATACCTTCGCTTTGATACCATGTCAGAACACCAACAAATAGATCGCTGGGATAAAGAAGCTTGTTAAGTAGCGGGTCAATACGCCCACAACCCCCCATGGTAGCGAGCATGTAACCCTTCTCTAGAATGAATCGGACATTCTTAGTGTAGGTCTTTTGCAGGCCCCCAGAAGTCAGAGATATTTCTCTGATTTGCATGAAAAACTCTGATTTTCCAGACTTTTTTTAATGGCTACTCTGAAAGTTCAGATTTTTTTATGGCCTCAACTCTGAAAGTTCAGATTTTTTTTTTAAGCTTACTCTGAAATTTCAGAGTTTTTTTAGGAGTGTACTCTGATTCAACAGACTCGAAACGAGAACCTACTCTGATTCAATGTACCTGATTTGGCGCCGAAACCCGGGATTGACGGTGGCACTAGACTGCTACCCCGTCAATCACGCTTTATCAGGGACAGCCCATCAGTTTCCACAGCGACGCCGCCCTGCGGAGCGGTTTCCCCCTCGTAAGCACCAGCGCACACCAGCTTTGGGTGTTGATTGGTCCTTTTGGCAGCTTTTTCTAGCCACACAGGACTCCAACGGTACCCACGTTGCTGCATTTGGCAGCCACGTTACACTGCAGACAGCAGTGCACGGCAGTAGCGGCTCGTGGTTTGGCGTGCATGGTAGGCAACCACAGCCCGCTGGAACGATGGCCCGCGAAGGGGTAAAGAGCCATCATCAGAGCTAGGGTTTCAACCCCACCTCATGCTTCAGCAGCCTTGTCTGGTCCCAGTCCCAGTGCTTTTTGTCTACCGGCACCACCTCTCTAGTGCCCACCATGGCGATTCAGGTTGGTTCTGCCTCAGGCGATGACGATGATGCAGTCCCTCATGCTAAAACCGGCCTAGACTTTCTGCTTAGCTCGCTAGCACTAGAGAGGGTTGCACGTTCTGCGCCTGACACAATCCCTGCCCCGAAGGAAGCTGCACCCGGTGTCTCAACTCCACCTGATACTGCTGAGTCGATGGATGAAGAACCTACCGTTGGTTCTGCAGCACAACATGTCGTGAAGCCGCCCGCCACTGCTGCAGCGCGCAACGTCCGACTTAAGCAGGCGACGCTTAGCTTCTGGAAGACGTATGCGACGGCTGTGGTCGAGAACAACGTTGCCGGCCCATCTGAAAGGCCTCGTCCACGGTTGAACATCGTTATGGACCAGCTCATCGCAGATGTGTATGAGGATGCACACGACAAGTTTAAGTCACAGTGGTCTGCTCGTTTTCCCTGGCTCATGCTAATGAAAACCTCCTCTGGTCTTCCTGGATTTAAGTGCAGTGTGTGTGAAGCCCATGCTGGTGCCGCAGGCAAATGTGGGAGGCGCGGGAAAGGTGCTACAGACGTGCAAACACAGTCCTTCCGTAAGCACGCCGGCACACAGAAGCACAAGCTGGCGATGGCGAAGTTCACCGCTCTGAAGGAGTGCGGGGCTCGGCAGCCGCTGATAGGCCAACTTCGAGTCACGGTCGACGAGGAGAAGCTGCGCGTCGAGTCCCTTCTTGACTCGTTGCTGTTTGTCAGCAAGTGCGACGCGCCAATGGGACTGTGGGTGAAGCTTGTTCGGTACTTGGCGGAGAAGGACGTAAAGGGATTTCCCAAGAAGGGCTACGGCACATACTACACCACGTAAGTGATGCTTTGCTATGTACCTAGTATGAGTTGGTGCTTTCTATGTTCGATGTGAAACGGTAACTGACAATAATATTTGTCGTGCAGGTACGGCTTCGAGGAGTTAACGCAGGCGACGGCAACGTGGCTTCAGACAACCCAGCTGGAACACGTGCTCACAAGTCCCTTCATCGGCATCTCCCTCGACGAGAGCACGGATCGGTGCAGTGGGAAACACTTGATACTGTACGTGACTTTCATCCGCGACAGCAAAGTGGCGACGGAGTTCATGACCCTCATCACCGTAGACAAGGGGGACGCTGCCACACTGGTCAGTCTCCTAGTTTCGCACCTGCAGGCAGTCGGCATCGACCTGAGGCGGATATCCGGCATCAGCACTGATGGTGCCAACGTCATGATGGGTAGCAAGTCGGGCTTGGTGACACGCCTCCGCCTGCGCATACCCCATTTGGTGTCTTCGCACTGCATCGCGCACAGGTACATGGGCTCTTGTACAGGTCTTTGTGCTAGCCTTTTTTTTTTAGACGGCTTTCTAACCTTTCTTGTATGCGTTTCAGGGAGGCTCTGGCTGCCAAACATGCTGCTGAGAACATCCCCGCCTTCAATGTCGTCGACAAGGTGATTCGCACCGTGGCTGAGCACCTCGGCAGGTCGGGCCCGTGGCACCAGAGGTTCATGGATCTCCAGGACGTGTTCACCTCAACGAGCTTGGAACTGCAAGGGATCCATGCAGTTCGCTGGCTCTCGCGGGGCGATGCTGTGCTGCGTTTTATCACCATGCTTCTAGCGCTGATCGTGATGATGAAGAAGTGGGATGCTGACTTGTATGCACTGGTGACAAGCTACGGTTTTCATTTCCTCCTTTTTTTTATTGCTGGCGTGCTTGAGCAGCTGAACATATTGAACAGGGCCTTCCAGCACAAAGAGGTGAGCATGCCACTGGAATTTTTCAAGGACATAGTATGTTTGCTTTATCATTGTACACTGTTTTTCACTAACATTCGTTTTCTTTCCGTGTTCAACCCAGCTGGATTATGCCGTCGTCTATGGGCAGATAAGGCGCACCACCTCTCACATCGAGTCGCGCTATGTTGACTGCGGGGACGACTTCGGTGGCGGCGTAAGCGAGCGGCTATCCCCTTTCCTCGCGCGTCATGGGCCAGGAGGAAACAGGGAGGTGACAGTCGAGGGTGTTGACTCCGACGGGCGACCCGCGCGCTTCAAGTTCAAGCTGCATGAGGACGACGTGGAGGATTTTGAGGGGCCCGCCACGCATGATGGCTGCGTGGACGTCTGCACCGCGTTCGCGGAGAAGATCGTCCATGAGCTGGAGTCCCGGCTTGGCGACCTGGAGGGAATGGCAGGGGCCAAGCTGTTCACCCCTGACGAGTATCCACTGGACCGAGGAGAGAGGAACGCCAGATGCCTTCAGTGGTTGTCGTCCCTGGCCACTCTGTTCAAGGCTGACAAGAGCGAAGAAATCCTGCCTGGTAAGCCGTACTCTACTGTAAATGTATATGTGCTTTACCTTTTTCATCTCTGTATGGTTGTATGTGATGTGGTGCTACTTCGGTCAAATGTTCTATTTTTGTATGTTCCACTTTTCATTGTTATACCTTTAAACCCCCTTCAGGAATCAACAAGTGACGTGCACAGAAGGAGCTGCGCATGTTCACCTCGGTGCTTGCAGCGACCAGCAGGAACGAGCATAGTTTCCATGCTGGACTCACTGCCATGCTGAAGACGCCGGACTGGCGGGAGAACTACCCCAATTTGGTGCAGTTGTGGGTGGCGGTAGCAGTTCTGCCGCTAAGCACCGTGGAGTGCGAGCGTGGGTTCTCGCGGCAGAATATCATCAAGTCGTGACAGCGAGGGGCGATCAAGGATGCACGGCTTGGGGATCTCATGTGCATGAGCCTCATGCAGTATGAGCCCAAGTGGGACGAGATTGTCACAATCTGGCGCAGCTACAAGAAGCGCAAGCCCCACAGGAACGCTCCAATCGATGCAGCAAGGCAACAGAGCAAGCAGGGCAAGGATCATGCAGATCATTTGGACGTAGTTGACTTAGGAGATGATGATGATGCTCTTGAATGTGATGATTATGACTGACTAATCGTACGGTAGTTATATAGGATAGGCTAGTATAGTAGTAGTAGTAGTAGTAGTAGTAGTAGTAGTAGTAGTAGTAGTAGTAGTAGTAGTAGTAGTAGTAGTAATATAGTAGTAGTAGTAGTAGTAGTAGTAGTAGTAGTAGTAGTAGTAGTAGTAGTAGTAGTAGTAGTCGTAGTAGTCGTAGTTGTAGTAGTAGTAGTAGTAGTAGTAGTAGTAGTAGTAGTAGTAGTAGTAGTAGTAGTAGTAGTAGTAGTAGAGTAGTAGTAGTAGTTGTAATAGTAGTAGTAGTAGTAGTAGTAGTAGTAGTAGTAGTAGTAGTAGTAGTAGTAGTAGTAGTAGTAGTAGTTATAGTAGTAGTAGTAGTAGTAGTAGTAGTAGTAGTAGTAATAGTAGTAGTAGTAGTAGTAGTAGTAGTAGTAGTAGTAGTAGTAGTAGTAGTAGTAGTAGTAGTAGTAGTAGTAGTAGTAGTAGTAGTAGTAGTAGTAGTAGTAGTAATAGTAGTAGTAGTAGTAGTAGTAGTAGTTGTTGTTGTTGTTGTTGTAGCTTTTAGTAGTTTCCTAGGAGCCTTGGTTGGATACTTAAATAAGTGCATGCTGTACGGTGCAAACCCTCAAAATGCAATCAGACTAATCACAACTGGTAACTCTGACTAATCAGAGTTCTGTCAAATGTTAAAGCCTCTAGTGGGTCATGCTATATGGGGTACAAACAGTTAGGGTTAGGCATTTGTACCCCAACCCAATCAATCCAACCCATTCCGCTGTGTTTAGTTTCTGAGATGGTATCAGCAGTAGGTTCGCCGTTCCTAGGCCACACTTAGTCTCCGCCGTTCCTAGACTTCGGCCGTCACTACCGTAGCCTTGGCGTGAACCCCCCCCCCCGTCTGCCCTAAGCACGCTAGCCAGCAGGCCCGCCAGCGCCCTAGCCAGCAGGCCCGCCAGCGCCTTAGCCAGCAGGCCCGCCAGCACCCTAGCCAGCAGGCCCGCCAGCGCCTTAGCCATCAGGCCCGCCAGCGCCCTAGCCAACAGGCCCGTCAGCGCCCTAGCCAGCAGGCCCGCCAGCGCCCTAGCCATCAGGCCCGCCAGTGCCCTAGCCAGCAGGCCCGCCAGCGCGCACGCCAGCGCGCCCCGCCAGCGCGCTCGCCAGCGCGCCCGCCAGCGCGTCAGCCAGCGCGCCCGCCAGCGCGTCACGACAGCGCGCTCGCCAGCGCGCACGCCAGCGCGCCTCGCCGGCGCGCACGCCAGCGCACCACGCCAGCGCACCGCGCCGCCTGCCCACCAGCCAGCGCGCCGCGCCGCTCGCCAGCCAGCGCGCCGCGCCGCCCGCCAGCCAGCGCGCCGCGCCGCCCGCCTGTCCGCATGCCGCGCCGCCTGCCCACCTGCACGCCTGCGCGCTTGCCCACACGCCACTGACTGTCTCCCCCTCCTGCGGTTGGCAGCCGCGCTCTCTCAGTTTCGCCCCCTATGGCGACCTCCCGAATACTTCGATTTGACCCTGAAGGGAGACCGATTGACTTTAGTACGTGGCTTACGCAGGCGCAGCGCCACCTTAAGAGCCAGCGGCAGGATGGCGTGCACCTGTTCGCACACGTGTCCGGCACTCAGACCGCCCCTCCGCAGCCTCAGCAGCTGCCCACTACCCCACCGCCTACTTCTGAGCAGGAGGCCGACTACCAGCGCCAGCTCCTCGCTCGCGACGTGTGGGAGTCTCGTGACGCCGCTGCCTGCCTCGCCCTGACCGACCTTCTCCCGCCGACAGAGGCAGTCCACTTCGCTCAGGTCGAGTCTGCTGTAGATCTGTATAAGGCTATTATTACTCGCTACTCCACTCCCTCCTCTGCTTCGCTCAGTCCCCTCCTCGTACCCTTTATCTACCCTGACCTCGCCTCCTTTGAGACTGTCTCTGACCTCGCTACTCACCTGCGCTCCCTTGATGCTCGCTTTCGCGCTGCTTGCACTGAGGACCAGCTTGCCCTTGCCCCACCCCCTATGTGGCTCACTATTCACTGGCTAGTCACTCGCCTCCCTGACCGCCCAGCCACAGCCTGCGACGCGCTTCTTCTGAAGCACCCCACTGAGCTTACCATCGATCTTCTTGAGACTGCTCTCTCGAAGATCGAGAGTAACCTCCTCACTGTTGCCTCTGCCTCTTCCGCGCCTCCTCCTCGTCTTTTTGAGGGGTGTGCAGTACCACAGCTTCCCACCTTCTCTGCCTCACTTGCCACCCCCACGTCTTCTGCCTCTGAGGAGACGGCGGCTGTTTCTGTCTCTAGCGGGCAGAAACGTGGCAAGGCTCGTAAGAGGGGCAGGAAGGGCGGCGGGGGTACTGGAGGTGGTGTGGGTAGTGGCGGTGGCGGTGGAGCAGGTGGTGGGAGTGGTGGTGGGGTTGGCTCGGGACCTGACGGCCCTCCTTTCGACGGTGGAGTTTTCACTGGTGGTGAGGGGTCCCAGCAGCAGCAGCAGCCGACTCCTCAGCAGCTGCCACCGCCTGGACAGCAGCAGCGGCTGGGACAGCAGGAGCAGCGACAAGGCCATCAGCAGCGCCCGCCACAGCAGCAGCCTCAGCAGTGGGGCCCTCCGCAGCAGTGGGGCCCTCCGCAGCAGTGGGGCCCTCAGCAGCAGTGGAGGTCTGCGGGTCCCCCGAGCACTGGGCGCAGTGGCGCCCCCTCCAGTCGGGGACCTCGCTCGGCCGGCCGCGACGTTGGTCCCTGTGAGTACTGGATCCTTACGGGTCCTCGTCGGGACTCGTACTGTGGCCGCCCCGACCACTCTGCTGCACGCTGCTTCAGTCGTCTCGACGACCTCTACCGCTTGCACCACGGCCCCTCCGCTCCCCCGCCGCCACGCTGGGGGACACTTCTTGCTCGTGGTATTGCTGTTTTTGATACGACTATGGATGATGCTAGGTCATATGCCATGTATGCTGATGTTGACTATAGTGCTCCTGGATCTGTGTACTTGCCTGTACCTAGCTTAGGATCTTTGCCTGTTGCTAGAGTAGGTGCTAGTGTAGGATCTTGTTTAGCTACTAGTACAGGTACTCCCTCGGCGGACGCCTCTCTCTCCTTCACACTGGACTTTGGAGCGTCACACTGCTTCTTCCGTGACTGCACGACTCTCTCTCCGCTACCGGCGCCTGTCCCTGTAGCACTGGCCGATCCCTCTTCGGGACCGGTCATTGCGACTCACGCCACTACACTCCCGTGCCCAGCTGCTCCTTCCGGTTCCCTGACTGGCCTCCACGTTCCTACGTTCTCTAGGAACCTGGTTGGTGTGGGCACCCTGGCGAGACAGCACGTCGGGGTCTGGGTTGAGCCTTCTGGTGACACCGCGGTCTGTGTGACGGTGACACGTACGCCCCCTTGGCCGCTTTTTGCCAGGAGCCGGGCTCCGGTCTGTACACCCTCCGCACCGACCCCCGTCAGGTTCCCCCGTCCCACCAGGTAGCCGGGTCCAGTCAGGTTGCTGTGTCAGGTGTAGTTGCTGCGTCGTGCTCGTGTCGGTCGCTTGCCCATCCCTCCCTCCTCTGGCACCACCGCCTTGGTCACCCTTCCCTCCCTCGTCTCCGCGCTATGTCCAGTCAGGGTCTTGTCTTAGGCCTCCCTCGAGTCCTCCCGCCACTCCCGCCGTCCCCAGCTCCTCCGTGCGGTCCTTGTGTCCAGGGTCGGCTGCGCGCCACCCCTCACTCCTCCTCCCTTTGTCCGGCCACCGAGCCCTTCGAGACTCTCCACTTAGACGTCTTGGGCCCCGCTCCCCGCCTTGGCCCTGCGCGTGAGAGTTTCTTTCTGGTGGTCGTTGACGACTACTCTCGGTACACCACCATGTTCCCTTTGGCGAAGAAGTCCGACGTGACTTCTACGCTGATCCGGTGGCTCCTCGCCACCGAGGGCACTCGCGGTCGTCGTGTCAGTTGTCTTCACTCCGACCGTGGGGGTGAGTTTCGCTCCGGCATTCTCGCCAGATTCTGTGCTGAGCAGGGCATCACCCAGTCCTGGACTCTTCCAGACTCTCCACAGCAGAATGGGGTTGCTGAGCGCCGCTTAGGCCTGGTCATGGAGATCGCCCGCACCTCCATGATCCACGCCCGCGCGCCCCATTTTCTGTGGCCCTACGCGGCTCGGTACGCCGCTCACCAGCTGAACCTCTGGCCTCGCGTCTCTCGGCCAGGGGCTTCACCGACTAGTCTTTGGACAGGGTCCCCTGGTGTTGCGTCGAGGTTTAGTGTCTGGGGCTGCTTGGCTCTTGTCCTCGACACCTCTGCGGACAAGATCTCGCCTCGCACTGTCCCCTGTGTCTTCCTTGGTTTCCCAGAGGGCTCCTCTGGCTTCACCTTTTACCACCCTCCCTCCCACCGGTTCTTTGACTCTCGTGACGTCTGCTTCAACGAGTCCGTCCCCTACTACGTCCAGTACCCCTGTCGAGGTCTCCCAGTCCCCCCCCTCCCCTCTTCCTCGCTCCAGCTCCTCCTCCTCCCGCCCCTACTCCTCCGGTACCCCCCCCTGTTCCTGCTCCGTCTGGTGTGTCCCACGCTACTCCCCCCCCCTTGGTACCCCCCCAGGTCTCTCCTCCTTCCCCACAGTCGTCCTCACCGCCTCCGCAGCAGCCGTCAGCGCTTCCTTTACCGGCCACTGCGGCCTCTGAGGGTGTTGGTGCTCGAGGTGAGGGCTTGGGCGGTGCTCGCTCTGGGGGTGCTGGCGTTGGAGCTGTTCGTGCACCTACACGAGCAGCCAGTTCTGGGGGTGTTGGCGTTGGTGCTGAGCGTGCACCTGCCGCAGCTGCCCGTTCCGAGGGTGCTGGAGCTGGTGGTGGTGCTGGAGCTGGTGGTGTTTCTGGAGCTGGAGAGTCTGGGGCTGGTGTTGGTGCCACTGGAGGCACCTTGACTGGGGGTGCGGGTACACCTCCTACAGGTACTGGTCGTGCTGCCGCGGGAGGTACTCGCTCTGGGGGTGCTCAGCTGGGTACTGTCGAGGACGGAGCCGGTTCTTCTGTTGCGTCTCCTGACACCACTCCTCCTGCTCACCCCGACCCGACTCGTTACCAGGCCCTTCTTCGTCTAGAGCATGAGGAGCAGCATCGTTTGGAGCGTGAGAGGTCGGAGGTTCAGCAGCGGGTGGAGCGTGAGAGGTTGGAGTTGCAGCGGGAGCAGCAGCAGCAGCAGCAGCAGCAGCCGCAGCAGCCGCAGCAACCTCCGGCCCTTGTTTCTGGCCTTCGGGCCCTTGGTCTCCCCTCCTCTCCTCCTGTGTTCGGTCCTACGTTTCCTCCTCCGGACTCAGCTCTGGCTGTGTTCCCTCGTTCTCAGTCTCCTCCGTCTCCCTCTCCTCTCGCCCACACTTGGACCTCTCGTCCCCCTCGTGCTCGTCCTTCGTCACCTGTCACTGACCTCCGTACCGTGTTGTTTCGTCCTAGTCCTCCTCGTCATCCTCCGTCTGTTCTTCCTCGTCCTCCTGAGTCATCTCTCACTGCCTCCCTGTCCACTCTGGTCACTGACTACTACCGCACGTATCGCCCTACTCTCTCTCATGTTCTCGCCTCTCTTGTTACTAACCCTCGTGCCTCTCCTTCCTCCGTCACGGTCCTCGCTGCCGCTGTCACTGAATTTACTGCCACGCGTCGCCTTGACTATGCCACTCGTGTTGTGGCCGCTCCTCCTGTCCGTCCTCTGTCCGCCGGGGGTGAGTCTGCCTTTGGCTGTGACGTCCTAGAGGACAGACAGTTTGAGCTAGAGTTCCTGGCAGCTGCTTCGCCTCATCTCTGTGCCATGCTCCTCGCTCCTGAGGGAGACCCCGACGCTCCTGACATACCTACTCCTTGCACTTACGCTGAGGCAGTGTCAGGGCCTTGGGCCTCTCAGTGGAGAGCTGCCATGGACGCAGAGATGGCCTCCTACAGGTCCACAGGCACTTACGTTGACGAGGATCCACCCCCAGGGGCGAACATAGTTGACGGCATGTGGATCTTCAAGGTGAAGCGGCCGCCGGGATCTCCCCCAGTCTTCAAGGCACGCTACGTGGCTAGAGGGTTCAGTCAGCGTGAGGGAGTTGACTTCTTTCAGACCTTCGCGCCCACCCCGAAGATGACCACTCTTCGGGTGTTACTGCATGTAGCAGCGCAGAGAGACTACGAGCTACACTCTCTTGACTTCTCCACTGCCTTCCTCCAGGGCAGTCTACACGAGAAGATCTGGCTGCGTCGTCCTCCGAGCTTCACTGGCACCTTCCTGCCTGGGACCAAGTGGAGCCTCAGACGACCGGTCTACGGTCTCCGCCAGGCACCCCGTGAGTGGCACGACACTCTCCGCTCTACTCTGTCCGACCTCGGGTTTGAGCCGTCTTCCGCCGACCCGTCGCTGTTTGTTCGTCGTGGGCGCACACCTTTCTTCGTTCTCGTCTACGCTGATGACCTGGTTTTTGCCACAGGCGACACAGTTGCACTGGCGGAGGTGAAGTCCGAACTGCAGAAGAGACACACCTGCACTGACCTTGGGGAACTGCGCCGCTACCTTGGCCTGCAGATCTCCAGGGACAGAGCCGCTCGCACCATCACTCTGACTCAGTCACACATGGTGCAGCAGGTCCTTCAGCGGTTCGGGCTTCAGCACTCTTCTCCTACACCCACCCCTCTTGCTGTAGACCACAGACTCACTGGGCCTTTTCCTGACGAGCCGTTCGAGCCCAGTGGTCCCTACGCAGAGCTGGTGGGCTGCCTCATGTACCTGATGACGTGTACTCGCCCGGACCTCGCCTTCCCTCTTAGCATCCTTTCTCGCTTTGTTGCGACTGGGAGACACCGTCCTGTTCACTGGACGGCGGCTAAGAGCGTGGCGAAGTACCTCGGCGCGACATTAGACATGGGGCTTGTACTTGGAGGGACACAGCCAATTGTACTCACCGGTCACTGCGACTCCTCCTACGCCGACGACGTTGAGACTCAGAGGTTTACGCAGGGTTACTGTTTCAGCCTGTGCTCTGGAGCTGTTTCGTGGAGGTCCACTCGGTCCTCTTCTGTTGCGACTTCTACCGCAGAGGCCGAGATCTACGCTGGAGCCCTTGTTGCACAGGAGCTACGCTGGTTGACCTTCTTGCTCACT